CCTTGATCGTAATTTGCATTGCGGCACTTTGCTTTTTGCAATATTGTGCCTTGGAATTATACTCTTGGGCGCAAATATGGCGGAACCCCGCCCCGGTCACGGTTTGCGCCTCGAAATTTTGCTAATTTTCACAGCTTTTGCGTAACTGTGGTACTACAGCTGGGCTAGGCACGCCGCCTCCTTGGTAGTGTTGGTACTTTTTTCTTTTGTTCGAGGATTTCCCGAAACTAAGGCATTCCAACAAGTGAATGGAAGTTTGGTCCCATAGGTTCGGAATGCTTTCTTCCCTTCAAACTCAAGTGAAATTTTTCCAAAATTTCATGGATTTTCGTTTTAAATTCTGTTTTTTCGTGGATTTTTTGAAAGGGGCAAAGAGTTGACGGAAGGCCTTTCGTCAAGGCCGTTCAGGTCACTTCATCAACCGATCACATAATTATTGAAGTGAAAAGAAAATGTGCAGCATTTTATTAAAAAAACAATGTTGGAAATGTTTTAAAATTTGTCATTTTGTAAATAAAATCATACAAAAAGACGTTGTTACAGGAGAATCAGTGGCATATTCTGCTTAAAGTAAAGGAAGTGAGAGGGAGACTTTTTATGCCTTTGCCTCCTTTTTTGCTTAGAGTAGCATACCTTTTCTTTTTTATGCCTCATTTCCTTGAAACATTTTTTAATTGTTCAAAAACTTGCTTTTTTGGATTTCTCAAAAAGATTTTAATGCATTCAGCCTCACTCACTAAATTTTATTGTATATTTACTTAATTTCACTTCGTTTTTTTGATTCTCCGTATTTATCTTTACTGTAACTGAATTTAGAATTTAGTGCCTTCTTATTCAGGCAGAAATAGGTTGTGGCTTTATCTGTTAACTTGATACATCACCGGCATAAACACAAATTCCGAACAATAGGAATCAAGCGCGATAAATATAATATACTCACTCATCATTGCCTGTTTAAGTCCTTTTCCTTAAACTCCTGGCCCATTTGTATTTTGACCGTGAATTTTTAGTTCTGGGGGTGGGGGAGGGGAGGGAGGGGAGATTTGTAATTTTTGCAGTTCTCAGATTCCTGAACTTCGTGGCTACCTTTGAAAGTACTGCAGAACGATGATTTTACTGCTCTGGCAACTATAAATCAAACAGAAGACGACTTCAGTAAATTTTATTCCGGTAATTCTATGCAGTAAAAACTATTGCTT